GCCCAGCGCTGCCAGCACAGGCATGGATGCCAAACTCTTCCGCATTCTGTCTGAAGCTGTTCAAGAGCTGGGTTTGGATTGCCGTGCAGGACTACTTCAGCACTTGCTGGAAGGGCCTACTCATCTGCTGGACAAGCAGCCTCGGCGCTTCACTCCATGGCGGTCCTCCAGGTCCTTCAGGCCAAACTTCTCCAGAAAATGGACGAGTCTGGACCGGACCCCGCGGCTTTCAAAGAGCTACGCAGTTCGACCGACCTGGCTTTACACGCCACAAAGATGACAGCTCAGGCGATCGGTAGATCCATGGCCAGCCTTGTGTTGCTTGAGCGCCACCTATGGTTGACCCTCACAGAGATCAAGACCGTGGATAAAGTCCCCTTACTCGACTCTCCGGTCTCCTTACCGCTGTTATAGTGAGAAAAATAAAACACAAACATTTTCAAAAAGAGAGCAAATTTCCTCTTCCGCATTTCACGAGCGTTGGGTCCCCGCATGGCTGCCTGTCGTTCGATCAAACCCAACCCCTTGCCACGCAGGCCGAGGACTGGCGAGCCATCCCCGGGGTGTCAAGGTGGGTTCTGGGGATAATAGAATGAAACTCTTCCGCATTCTGTCTGAAGCTGTTCAAGAGCTGGGTTTGGATTGGTCTCCGCCGGAGGAGCCCACCCGCAGCCGCCTGGACGAATGGTTCTTACCGAGGCACCGTCAAGCCCCTTGACAACGAGCTTCTCCATTCTTCCCGGAAGTACACGAAGAGATCACCAGATCTTGGCGCGCCCCTTACTCGGCCCACCTGCGTACCTCCTCTTCGTCTGCCCTCACTACGGTCGACGGCAACAAGGTTATTCACTGCAATTCGCTCGAAGACCCCCACGATTCTGCGGCGTGGTCTCCACCTCGGTTCAGAGTGAGGATGCACACGTCCTACGCGCTGAGGTGATTAATTTACTGGCGAAAGGAGCCATAGAAATGGTTCCTCCAGCGCAGAGCGAGTCAGGCTTCTACAGCCGTTAATTTTCTCGTCCCCAAAATGGATGGCGGCCTAAGGCCCATCCTAGATCTCAGACACCTGAACTGCGCCCTCATGAGACTTACATTGAAGCAGATCCTCTCGCAAGTGTGCCTACGGAACTGGTTCTTTTCGCTGGATCTGAAAGATGCCTACTTTCACATCCAGATAGCCCCACACCACAGGCGGTTCTTCAGATTCGCCTGCGAGGGAGTGGCATATCAGTACACGGTCCTTCCCTTCGGACTGTCCCTAGCTCCCCGCACTTTTACAAATTGCATGGATGCGGCTCTTTCCCTGCTGAGACAGATGGGAATACGCATCCTGAATTATCTCGATGACTGGCTCATCCTCGCCCAGTCAGAGAACGAGCTAGTATCCCACAGATCCTTACTCCTCAGCCACTTACAGTGCCTGGGACTCAGGGTCAACTTTGCCAAGAGCGCGTTGTCTCCCAGCCAACGGATATCGTTCCTGGGAACAGCTCTCGACTCAGCCAGAATGACAGGTAATCAGGCGAATCAAGGAGCGGAAACACAGGGTTCTGTTGGTGGCCCCGCTCTGGAGGAACCAATACTGGTTCGCAGAGCTGTCCTAGCTGCTTCTAGCAGCCCCATGGCCCATCACCCTGAGTGCTTATAGCAGCCCCGTGGCGAACAGAATGATATGGCACCCCCAGCCCGAACTGTGGGCCCTGCACCACTGGCCTCTCAACGGGAGCCTGCGGACCTCCCCGAGAGCATGCTAAACACGATATCTCAGGCTAGAGCACCCTCTACGAGGCGGCTCTATGCCCTTAAATGGTCTGACTTCTCCGCCTGGTGTTGCACTGGATATTCGGCAGCTCGCGGCCTCATTCGAAATTGGAGCCCTTTGCCCTCGCAAAGCGTTTCAGAAAATGTTGGGCCTCATGGCCTCTGTGTCTCCAGTACTTCAGCTGGGCCTGCTTCGCATGCATCCCCTTCAGTACTGGCTAAAACCACGAGTTCTGTCCCACGCCTGGCGCCATGGACGCATGCGTGTCAAGGTAAGCCGGGCCTGTGTAGCAGCCCTGGCCCCTTGGAAAGACTCTCAGTGGATGGATCGGGGCATGCCCCTGGGTATGGTCTGCAGAAGGAAGGTAGTCTCGACAGACGCTTCCAACACGGGTTGGGGAGCTCTGTGCGATGGCAAACCGGCTTTCGGCCATTGGTCGAAAGAGGAGAGTCGACTTCACATCAACTGCCTGGAAATGTTGGCAGTGTGTTTTGCCCTTCGCACCTTCCTGCCAGACCTAAGGGGACACCACGTGCTAGTCCGCTCAGACAGCATGACAGTGGTGTCATATATAAATCGCCAGGGCGGTCTCTCCTCGAAGCGCCTCTTCATTCTGGTAGACCCAATTTCCTGCAACATATCTCTGATATTGTCCTTCCTGTAGGAGCTGTTGGATAAAGGTCATTCCCCTTCCATGCTCAAGGTCTATGTAGCAGCCATAGCAGCTTCACATGCTCCTATAGCTGGCCAGTCAGTGGGCAGGAACAACCTTGTTGTTCGATTTTTGAAAGGGTCTAGGAGGCTCAACCCACGTCGCCCTGTCACCGTCCCTACATGCGACCTGCCTACGGTGTTGAGTGCTCTGAAGAGCCCTCCCTTTGAGCCGCTACAGTCTGTTGACCTTCGTCCCCTGAAGCTAAAAACCGCTCTGCTACTGGCGTTAGCATCGGTAAAGCGTATGGGTGATCTGCAGGTGCTATCGGTGAGCCCTACTTGCCTCGAATTCGGGCCTAACGACTCAAGGGTCGTCCTGAAGCCGAGGCATGGTTATGTACCTAAAGTGCTCTCGACTCTGTTCAGAGCACAGGTCATAGCTCTTTCGGCACTTCCTCCTTCGGAGCAGGACCAAGAGCTAAATCTACTCAGCCCCGTCAGGGCATTGAGGATATACATTGAGCGTTCCGCCCCGTTCAGACGGTCGGATCAGCTTTTTGTATGCTTCGGTGACCGCACCAGAGGGTCTCCGGTCATGAAGCAGAGACTTTCCAAATGGATTATTGACGCTATAAAGCTAGCATACTCGTCTTTGGGCCTTCAATGCCCCATGGGAGTAAGAGCCCACTCTATGAGAGCCGTTGCCTCTTCCTGGGCTTGGTCTAGCGGAGTTTCCATTGCAGAGATTTGTGCGGCGGCCGGCTGGGCCTTGCCGTCTACATTTACCAGGTTTTATAATCTGGACGTCCCGGCTTCACAAGCTCGGGTCCTTTCTGCTTAATGGACTTACTCTAGCAAACCAGTGCTAAATCAGGCATTTGCCTTCTCGGTACGCTCTTGGCCCCCACTGGGTTCCGAGGCTGTACAATTTTTCTGGGAACGATTACTTAGCTCCAGGCCGACCTCTGTGAGTTTGGCCCTATTGCTTTCTGTGGGGCTTCCCTGCAATTACTTGGTCCCTCTGGGCCCTTGGTGCTCAAGGCAAGTTTAAGCATTTGTCATTCCTCTAACATAGCATGGCGGGATTGTACTGGTGCCCCTTAGCGTCTTAAGCAAGACGCAGTATGAGTGAAGTATCGATAGGGAACGTACTCCGCTGCCGAGCCATTGGTTTGTTTTTAATACACTGCACGAACCAATGGCCGTGCAGTTTCACTGCATGATTGAAAAAGGCTTCAGTATTCGGAGAAAAAAGAGTTTTCCCCTTAGCATCTTAAGCAAGACGCAGTACTCGTTCCCGTATCTCAGGGAACCGAGGTTACGTTAATAACCAAGTACGTTTCCCTCCTCTGGTTTTCTTTATCAGTTTTCCTTGTCCAGACACGCATGTTTGTAGTCACACTGTGCCCTGCACGTCAAATTGATTTTGATAATTTAACTCAGTGTTTATATGTAAGAACAGTGCTGCAAGACTTTTCCTATCTGGTGTTTGTGGGACTAGTGCTGGAAATGTGATACAAAAACAACAAAATGTGAAAAGAGCGAGTCTCCCCTACGACGTGGTTGTTTTCCATGCAGCTTTAATGCATAGTAGCCATGTATGAATTTTTAAAGTATGCATTTGCTCTGCATAATAATAGATGTTTGAGCATTTCAGTGTTTTATTGCATTGCTTTATATGCAAGCCACAGAAAGTGAAAATGAACCTAGGTACTAGGGATAGGAAAAAATAATGTTATTTTTGCGATTAATATTGGCTATTTAACACGTTACAAATAATTAACATAATTAATGCAGACTCAGTTTTTTCTGGTCACTGAGGCTATGATTGTGGGGTTCACCACTTCCTGTGCTGTGGCGTTTTATTCTCATGCTGCATTATGCATTTGTTTACTTGGTTGTTGAAAATCCATCTTCAAGATTAAGCCACACAGCTGTAAGTGTGGATAGAAGAGTCAATATTTTGCTAATGTGTATAGAAAGGACAATGGATCCATATAAAAATATGGATGCTAAATGTTTTGACTAGTAATTTTATTACATATTTAACAAAAGAATGCATTGAGAAGATCTGAAGTGAAACAAAACAGACATCTCATTAAAATAGGAGAGCAGAAAGAGCAATGATAGACAGAAACATCAAGTTCATTTTCAGAAATAAAGGCAAAGCTAAAAGAGACTTTTATTTTAATCGGTTTATGTGATGATCATTGTAAGTGTATTAAAATTATTATTTGAATATATTCATTAAGTTGTTGTAAAGGATAAACAAGAACAGTACTCTGATTATTTGCAGTTTGCTTACTAAATGTTAAAATTATTAATATATATTCTTAAATGGTTGTAGTCATTTTATGCTCAAAATCTTAAAAAAAAAATCCATTTAACAAAGGTATTGGCAATATAGCCCTGATAATACTTAATAGTACTTTAAAAAATCCATTAAACAAATATTATTATTTTTTTTAACTCTTTTGTTTATTATAAATATTTTACATGATTCACAGCCCTAATACATACTTTACACTCATAATCCAATTACACTCGCTATGACTAAAAATAATTATCTTTCTTTCATCAGGGTTGAAACAAATCCATGCTCTGTCTATCCAAGGAAACTACGAGCTGCGCATAGATCTTGAAGATTTTGAGAACAGCACAGCTTTTGCACAGTATGGCGTGTTTGGAGTTGGGCTGTTCTCTGTTGATCCTGAGGATGACGGTTACCCCCTCACCATTGCTGATTACACCGGCACTGCAGGTACACACACATATTTACATATTTACAGACCGTGGATCAATATCTTCATTATTGTGTAAATAGTATGCCTTATTTAAATCACACTTAATATTCAAGAAACTTTGAAAGGCCCAGTATGCAAATCAGTTAGCAAGATTATATCTTTGTCAAAAATAAGTGCTTATTCATTCAGATAATTGGTCAACTTCAGTGCTTGATGGCATAGACAGGATAATTATGGCACTTAATACCAGTGGTGGAAAGAGTACTGAAAATTTGTACTTAAGTACAAGTACTGTTACATTGCTGAAATAATACTCAATTACAAGTAAAAGTACTGATGTCAAAACAGTACTTAAGTAAAAGTACAAATTACTCTTCTCAAAAACTACTTAGAGTACTAGTTACTAGTTACTTTTTAGCTGGTGATATTTAATGAATTACCAAAAAATATTCATTCATATCAAAGATCTATGTGGATAATAGCTACTTTTAATTGGTTAAATTGGTGGTCACGATACAGAAATTTCTCACTTCAATACCTTAAAATATATAAATATTAAAGTATCCAGTTCCCGTGAACCGGAAGTTGCAACTGACTTTTGAATATTGAATATTGAATAAAGGGCGGAGTTTTATTGTGGTGCACCTCCACTCCACCTCTTGCTCATAGCAGATTCACGGATTGGAGTGGTTAAGAATATCTGCTTGTTACATCTGATATCACGCTTCACCGCTTCTGGGTCCTAACGCTCTGCCAGACACCCTGCTTAGCTTAAATATGTAATATTAATTAAGTAATGCTCATAAATGGCTGCTGAGATAGAATTCTCAAGTGAAATGAGCAGAGGCTTGGACCCGGAAACAGCAGTCCTTACGTCACGACTTAACAAGAGGATTCTCCCGATGGCAGACAATTTTTATTTTTTCCAGTGTACTGACTTGCACGGTTTAATTGTTCACCACAAGACTAGTAATGTACACTAAAAAAGTAAGTAGGGTCATTTTTGATTTCATGACGACTTTTTCAACAATCATTTTCAATACCATTGGCAAAACTACCACATACATCCAAGTCTTCTCAAAAGACATGTTCACTTTATATGATGAACAATTTTATTTACATACACATAAACATTGATCAATTACCATTACAAACATCTCAATCTTAAACATTTGCTCATTCTGTATATTTGAAATAGGGTAACTTTGTTGCAAAAGCTTACAGCACAAGGAAGCTTGATTTCAACTTTGATTTCAAACTGAAT